GTGTGGTGTGTGTGTGTGGTGTGTGTGTGGTGTGTGATGTGGTGTGTGTGTGGTGTGTGTGTGATGTGGTGTGTGTGTGGTGTGTGTGTGGTGTGTGTGTGTGATGTGGTGTGTGTGGTATGGTGTGTGGGGTGTGTGTGGTGTGTGTGGTGTGGTGTGTGTGGGGTGTGTGTGTGTGGTGTGTGTGGTGTGGTGTGTGTGTGTGGTGTGTGTGTGGTGTGTGTGTGTGGTATGTGGTGTGGTGTGTGTGTTGTGTGTGGTGTGTGTGTGTGGTGTGTGTGTGTGGTGTTTGTGGTGTGTGTTGGTGTGTGTGTGTGGTGTGTGTGTGGTATGGTGTGTGGGGTGTGTGGTGTGTGTGTGATGTGTGTGTGGTGTGTGTGGTGTGTGGGTGGTGTGTGTGTGGTGTTTGTGGTGTGTGTTGGTGTGTGGTGTGTGTGTGTGGTGTGTGTGTGGTGTGTGTGTGGTGTGTGGTGTGTGTGTGTGGTGTGTGTGGTGTGTGTGTGTGGTGTGTGTGTGGTGTGTGTGTGGTGTGTGTGTGGTGTGGTGTGTGTGGTATGTGTGTGTGGTGTGTGTGGGGTGTGTGTGGTGTGTGTGGGGTGTGTGTGTGTGTGGTGTGTGTGTGGTGTGTGTGTGTGGTGTGTGGTGTGTGTGTGGTGTGTGTGTGTGGTGTGTGTGTGGTGTGGTGTGTGTGGTATGTGTGTGTGGTGTGTGTGTGTGGTGTGTGTGTGGTGCGTGTGTGGTGTCTGTGTGGTGTGTGTGTGTGGTGGGTGTGGTGTGTGTGGTGTGTGTGTGGTGGGTGTGGTGTGTGTGTGGTGTGTGTGTTGTGTGTGGTGTGTGTGTGGTGTGTCTGTGGTGTGTATGGTGTGTTGGTGGTGTGTGTTGTGTGGTGTGTGTGTGGTGTGTGACATCGCCACTGGGTTGACAAAGTCCTCCTGCCCCCCCCCCCCCCCCCCCCTGTGCCGTGTCCACGTCCTCCACGCGTTGCTGGCTCCTCTCACGAGGGGAGTCGTCGTCCTCGTGTCTGTCCCTTGACGTTCTCTGCTTCACCTTCTCACGTGCATAGCTACATCTGTGTACGCGTCTGTGTGCGCGTCTTGTATGCGATATGCTTCCGCGTGTGTACCTGTATGTTTACTGTATATATGGATGTGTGTTCCCGTGTGGGGAGCGGTGGTGTAGTGGTTAGCACGCTGCGCTACGAACCTGGCGAACCGAGTTCGATTCCCGCTCACGGCCACCAACACCCAGTGACGATTATCTGAACCGGTCCTGGGCCTCCCCTAGGTCGACTCAGCCTCAAATCAGTACCTGGTGCGATGTGTAAACATCGCCGCTAGGGATACAAAGGCGGCCGGGCGTGGTGCTGGCTGGCCACCCACCCCCTCGTGTGCCGTGCCGGCCTTCATAGGTGCTCGCTAACAGCACTTGCCCCTACAGTCTGTTAAGGCTACACGGGGGATCTTTGTGTGCACGCGAGTCTGCCAACGTGTGTGTGAACTAGTTTGTGTGTTCTGTATGTTTGTATGACGTCGCTCCGGCATTAATAGGGCGCTCGCTAATATCCGTGACTGTTGGCTATGCATGTTAAGGCTGGGCATGCGATGTTTACTTTTTTTGTAGGCACGTGTAAGGGGAGCGGTGGCGCAAGTGGTTAGCCCACTGCAAATCCGGCGGAATTCGATTGATAATAATTATCGGCCACGGCCACCGAACAGCACGCGGTTAGGCCGCCGGGTACGCCCGTATGGCGAACTTCTTTCGCGCCGTGCACAGCACCACCGTGCTAATCGCCCGCAACACCACGTGCGCCAGATGATTGCTGAACAAAACCCCACGTGCGGCGGCAATGGCGCGGGGCGAGCAGGCGCAGGTCATGTAGACCCCCGTCACGCAGGGAACTCCTCTAACCCCCCCCCACCCCCTAACCTCACCGCGCTTCGTCGCCTCGCAGAGTCGGCCCCCGTCAAGAACGCGGACTGGATGAGCTCCCTGCCGGAGCGCCTCGTCGACGTCAAGCTGCGGCACCTCGCCATCCCAGGTGTCCATTCCGGTCGGGCCGAAACTCGCGACTCGCTTTCGTTCGCGAGGGCGACGCCCCCTTCGCTTTGTGACGTGGAGGCACGCGGTGGACTGTTGACCGTGACGGCAAACCACTCGTGGTCTGTACTCCTTCAACGCAGGAGGAGGAACCGGCATCACTACGCAAACTCTCTGTCTCCTGAAGCCCTCTCGTCGTGGCTAACAGCAGACGTTCGCGCCCCCATTGCTTCCTCGCATCTATCTTATTGACCCCATCTCCACCATTACGTTCACGCATTGCAGCATTCTTAATTCTCTGTAGAGCGTCTCGGTTAAGGCGTTGCATGAATTGCGTTGAGATCAGGCCTCGACATTGGCGGCATCTGGGTTCCGAAATCATTGCTGCTGCCATCGTCATCATCGTCACCACCACGCGCAAGAGCAGAATGTCGCTGAGAACAGAATAGGCTTTAACCCCTTCTGGCAGTAGTACAGGAGGTGTTAAGATGGTCACAACAGCGAATAGACACACTTTTGGCTTTAACCCCTTCTGGCAGTAGTACAGGAGGTGTCAAGATGGTCACAACAGCGAATAGACACACTTTTGGCTTTAACCCCTTCTGGCAGTAGTACAGGAGGTGTTAAGATGGTCACAACAGCGAATAGACACACTTTTGGCTTTAACCCCTTCTGGCAGTAGTACAGGAGGTGTTAAGATGGTCACAACAGCGAATAGACACACTTTTGGCTTTAACCCCTTCTGGCAATAGTACAGGAGGTGTCAAGATGGTCACAACAGCGAATAGACACACTTTTGGCTTTAACCCCCTCTGGCAGTAGTACAGGAGGTGTTAAGATGGTCACAACAGCGAATAGACACACTTTTGGCTTTAACCCCTTCTGGCAGTAGTACAGGAGGTGTTAAGATGGTCACAACAGCGAATAGACACACTTTTGGCTTTAACCCCTTCTGGCAATAGTACAGGAGGTGTTAAGATGGTCACAACAGCGAATAGACACACTTTTGGCTTTAACCCCTTCTGGCAATAGTACAGGAGGTGTCAAGATGGTCACAACAGCGAATAGACACACTTATTGCAAGGCATCAAATCAAGCATGAACCACACGTGCTTGTCGTAAAACAGGCAAACATCCTTTTGTGAATAATGTACGGATGATTGGCCTACACCAGAGACAGCCTGCTTCATGGCCTTGCCTCACTACCAGTGTTCGACCGGAGAACAACACCAGAAGGCGAAACAGCACAATGGCTATGCAAGTGTAGTGGGTTCCGGAGACACTTCGGATAGGCAATGTCTTTATTATATACAGCACTCCAACAGTCAGTGACACTGGCAACGCTCTCCACTATAACGACCCTAGGGGAGGCTACCCTGACCCGACCCAGCCAAGGTGCGGGTCTAGACTCTGGCTTCATCAGACCTCGCCCTTACAAGGGCGTGGGGCCGGGAGTCCCAGAGTCCCACCACTGGCCCAGAGTCCCACCACTGGCCCAGAGTCCCACCACTGGCCCAGAGTCCCACCACTGGCCCAGAGTCCCACCACTGGCCCAGAGTCCCACCACCGGCCCGCACAGCGACCTCGCCCTTACAAAGGCACGGGGCCGGGAGTCCCAGAGTCCCACCACTGTCCCAGAGTCCCACCACTGGCCCAGAGTCCCACCACCGGCCCGCACAGCGACCTCGCCCTTACAAGGGCGTGGGGCCAGGAGTCCCAGAGTCCCACCACCGGCCCGCACAGCGTCCCGGCCCTGACAAGGACAGCGGGTCGAGGGGGTCCAGGGTCCTATCTAGCTGCTGGTCTTCAGCTTCGGTCTTCAACTGGTCCCAGATTTGCTGGGGAGGTCCCCTTTTATGCCCCTTGCCCATCGAGGGGTGGGGCTGCGAGGGATCCTAGAACCCCCCGCAGCCCCCCCCCCCTGAGCCCCCAGCAGCCCCCAGCAGCCCCTCCCCTCTTGGGCTGGCGCTGCAGCCCCTCTCCCTAGACGGTACGAGGTACCGTTCCATCTATGGTGCTACACAAGTATCAAAGCATCATGAGCTTGGGTCGAGCAGTTATATCTATGGGACCCTTTTTCAATAGGTGCCTATTTGGTTGGTGTTTGAACATCTTAACGCCTCCTTTGTATTATTGCCACAATTTGTGAAGCCTTTTTTTATCATTTTGACACCGTAGATAACCGTAGAGTGCATTTGGTATCCGTGCCATTGGCCTCATAGCGCACGGCGATCATCGCCAAGGTAGGCGCTGCTGTGTCACAGGCACAGCCTGTGGTCCGTTTCGCAGTAGGGGGTTGACGTTTGCTTCGTGGCTTTACCCCAATTCAGCGATTCGCCGGTTGTTAACGCATTCAAATTTGACGACATTTTGGGACCGTGACGCCAGCGGCACACAGTGACCCGAAGTATACAAATTGCGTACATGTATGTTTGCCTGCCGATTTGTGCAAGCTTGGGGCAAAGCAGCAGCACAACAACAGTCCCAAACTACACCAAGACGACACACAGAGTCCCTCAAATCGAACTGTCGATACACAGTTTACAAATATGGCTGTATCCAGCACCATTCTTCTGCATCGGGATACTTTTTTTGAAGCAGGATTCATGACCAACACCTCGGCCGTGGCAGATCACTGTTGTAATTCAGTAGGCTCACGTGACATTGACTTCTCCAAGACAGAAGTTCTCTGCAAGCCATCTGGCTACCATGAGAGATTCGTTCATGAGGCTATCCACATATACAAACACAGAGACAATTTCAACCGAGAAGATGGATTCTGGCTTAGCAATCATTGGAACGATTTGATAAACCATTTCAGATCTTAATTGCTTGCTCACGCTTATGGTGGCTTTCAGACCGCATCCATTATTTTCGTCTCCCCCCTCCTATTTTCCGAACATAGATGGACTCATCCACCTGAATAACTGCCAAATCGCTCTCCGTGGTGCTAACGTAAAAAAACCGCCCCTTTTTTCAAATTTTCTTGCTGTGGTTTTCACACCTGATTATGATTGCTTGTGTTGCAGTCGAAACGTCGTGATAAATTTATTGTTTTATATTTTTATTATTTTATTGTTTCCCTTCTACGTGGTGACTTTACCGAAATAACCAAGAATACGATTTATGACGTTAAGGGCGGAAGCAAGGGTTGTTCCAAAATGTTGGTGCTGCAGCGGCAAAGGCTTTATCACCCATTCCAATCATCGTTCTTGGGATAGTTTAAAGGCAATCAGATGGACGCTTTAGGTTTCTTGAGTTTGACAATGGGGATAAAGAATTTGCTAAGTAATTATACAGCCTGTTCTCCTATAACGTGCATTTTCATAACGCGAATTGGATATAACGCCATGAATGTATTAGTCAACAATTTTTTGCTACAGCGCTGATGTCAATTGGATATAATGCTATGGAGTGAACGGAACTACATCACGCCGAGTAGGAATAAGTGGTCGTACGGCCGCCTCGGCGTACCATGATCGCACGAGGCGGGACGCTGCTGAATGCTGCTTCTAGATGCTACCCACACGCCTCAGTCTTTGTTCGGCTTGAGTTACACAGGGGACTGTGCTTTACCCCACTATTATGCATAATTTATTATGACCCGAATTTTTCCATGACGCATCGTTCTTCAGGAACGTAACTACCACCGCGCTACAGGAGAACAGACTTTACAGCGCAGATTTGCCAATAGGGATTTGTATGGATGAACGGGGCCCAATGTAGATGACCGTTGTTGGATCTCTCTCTCTCTCGCTCGCCAACCCCGCAGGCTCGCATAATTCCTTCTCATTCGGCATCACGCACGAGTCCCCGGTGGGCCTCGACCTCTCCGGGGAGATCCGCGACCTCCTGGGTACCGCCGCGTCCCTCCTGGGGTCCGCGGGCGAGGCGGTCCCTCGCTACGCCGTGCAGAGCTGGGCCGTCACGCAGGCCCTCACTTTCCGTGAGCAGCTGGAGGCCGGCGTGCGCTACCTCGACCTGCGGCTGGCGGCCCACGATTGCGGTGACGATAGCGGCGAGGAGGAGGACGACGACGACGATGGGAACGATGATGACCGCGGCGGCGGGAGTGGAGTTGGAGGAGGCGGAGGTGGAGGTGGGGATGGAGGCGGCGATGGTGGCAGCGGTGGCGACGGTGAAGGCATCAATAAGCCTGGAGATGGAGGGGGCGCTGGCGCAGGAGGCGGCGGAGGTGGCGGAGGTGGAGGCGGCGGTGGAGATGGGGACGACGGTGAAGGCGGTGCTGGAAGCGGCAGTGGCAGACCGGCCAGAGACAGTGAAGTCCGAGTTGGTGGTGGAGTGGGAGGTGGCGACGGCGTTGGTGGTGATGGCGGCGGCGGTGGCGGCGGTGGCGCAGCAGCAGCGGGAGGCGGCGGCCGCGGTATTGGCGTGCACTTCACCCACGGCCTGCTGGCGGGCCCCGTGTGGCGAGGCCTGCGCGAGGTGGGCGCCTTCGCGAGGGCCCACCCGCGCGAGGTGCTGCTGCTCGAGTTCAAGCACCACTACGGCCTGGGCGAGCGTCACCACCGCCTGGTGCTCGCCGCCCTCCGCCGACACCTGGGCCTCCACAGGATCTGCCCTCGTTCGGAGGCCGCGGACGCCTCCCTGCGCACCCTTTGGGAGCGCGGGCGACAGGTGCGGGGGGTGGGGGCCGTTCGGCCTGGTTTCCTCCCAGGGAAGGCTGACGTCCACTTTGGGAGACGACGGCGGGCAGGCGCAGTGGTGTTGGCCATACCATCCCACCCACCCCTCGTGTGTCGCTCCCGAATTCACAGTGGGTACTGCTGCTCGGTAACCAGCAAATGCACTGTTAAGGCTTCGTTTGTCAATAGGTATTCCTGAACAGAACAGAACCCGATGGTTGACGGATTTCTAAACTAAAACAATTTAAAACTAAACTATTTTTTTTTTACCAGGTAAGGCCCCACTGAGTTATGTAGCTCTTTTTCAGAAGCGACTTTTCCACAAATGATGTCAACTTTGTGGCTTATCACGTGGAAATTTACGGCAGCCCAAATATTCTAAGCACGTGACGTCGATTCTAAATGTGGAGGGGAAAAAGCGGGGGGACGGGGAGAATAATGCACGCGACCACGAAAAGCGTGGACATGCAAACTCCAAATATACAGGTGTAAAGAAGCTCTTGGTGACATCCATAGTTGTAAAAGTAGAGCTTTATTTCTAACTGAGCGTGTTTACAGTGCCGAGTATAACAACCGCCACACTCGTGATTACTTCGGCTATCTTCAGCCCCGATGGCTTCAACCAAGTTGATCTCGAACAGTCAGACCTGAGGGTTTCCACCAAGTTGATCTCAAGTAGTCAGGTGTCAGGGTCGAGATCAAACCCACGACCTCCTGCATACTAGGCGAGGGAGGTAACATCTCACCACCGTGGTGGGCAAATCCCGCCACTCTGACGCCTTCAAACTAAACCGGGAATATTACCACTGACACAGTGATGTCAAAGCCCAGGGGGCCCCCCAAATGCGGGGCCCTGGCCAGTTGCCCCGACTCGGCTCACCGGGGTCTTGTCCACTCCGTGAGGTTCACGTTTGTGAGTGTCGCGCGCATTTCCTTTTAGCCTGCAGGTGAGAGCTCGAGATGATCAGGGTGAGTCTTGTTCGCATGATTGAGTGGGTGAGTTGGTGAGTGGGTTGATTGAGTGAGTGAATGAATGGGTGACTGAGCAGCAGAGTCAGTAGGTGAGTGGCTGAATGAGTGAGTAGGTAAGTGGGTGAGTGAATGGATAGAAGAGTGAGTAGGTGAAATGAGTGGGTGAGTAAATGGGTGAATGAGTGAGTGAATGAGTGGATGAGTGGGTGGGCACGAGTAAGCATGGAGACATGGAAGGTGAGTGAACAATTGAGTGGGGTTGGGTTTTGTTTCTACTTTAACTTGTTATTTTACAAAGTAACGCCAACTGAACTATGCAGATCTTTTTCAGAAGCAACCCGGCTATCACAAATGATAGCTCAACGAAGTGGCTTATCATGTAGACATTTATAGCAGCCAACTACGTTAAATGCACGTTTCTAAATGTGGAGGATAAACTCGGAGGACCCAGAGAAAAATCCACGCAGCCACGGGACAAGCGACTGACACGCAGACTCCAAATATACAGCAGGAGTCAGGGTCGGAGTCGAACCGAAAACCTCCTGTATACCAGGCGAGGTAGTCAACATCTCGTCACCTCTGAACGAGTGGGTAAACGATTGGTTGGATGATGAGTGAGTGAGTCTGTTAACCCTCTACGCTGGGGGGGGGGGGGGGCACGGTGGATCTTTGTCTCAACAAACAAACGCAACGTTGCAGGTCATCGTATTCTACGATGCGAGGGCCCTGGACGAGGAGGACCTCTGCCCCCTGACGATGATCCGCTCGCCGTGGCCCAACACGGATGACGTGGAACGTGCGGTCGCCTTCCTGGATGAGGTGGCGGCGCGGGGCCCTCCGAGCGACGCGTCCTACCGCGTCGCTCAGCTTGTGCTCACGCCGAGGACGTCCCGCCCGGGCCTGCAGCTGCTCTACGGCAGCCTCAGGGCAAGCCTCGTGCAGCCGTGCGTCACGTCACAGGCGCCGGCATCGCACTCGCAGAGTCACACCGCAGAGTCGCGCCGCACCACAGAGTCGCACCGCAGAGTCACTCCACACCGCTGAGTCGCACCACACCGCAGAGTCGCACCGCAGAGTCACTCCACACCGCAGAGTCGCGCCGCACCACAGAGTCGCACCGCAGAGTCACTCCACACCGCAGAGTCGCGCCGCACCACAGAGTCGCACCGCAGAGTCACACCACACTGCAGAGTCGCGCCACACCACAGAGTCGCACCGCAGAGTCACACCACACCACAGAGTCGCACCGCAGAGTCACACCACACTGCAGAGTCTCGCCGCTCTGCAGAGTCGCACCGCAGAGTCACACCACACCGCAGAGTCACACCACACCGCAGAGTCACACCACACCGCAGAGTCACACCACACCGCAGAGTCGCCCCACACCACAGAGTCGCACCGCAGGGTCGCACCACACCGCAGAGTCACACCACACCGCAGGAGTCACACCACACCGCAGAGTCACACCACACCGCAGAGTCGCCCCACACCACAGAGTCGCACCGCAGGGTCGCACCACACCGCAGAGTCGCACGACAGTCGCACCGCAGAGTCTCGCCTTTCCGAAGAGTCGCACCACAGAGTCACACCACACCGCAGATTCTCGCCACACCACAGAGTCGCACCGCAGAGTCTCGCCACACCACAGAGTCGCACGACAGAGTCGCGCCGCACCACAGAGTCTCACCGCAGAGTCGCACCACACCGCAGAGTCTCGCCGCACCGCAGAGTCGCACCGCAGTCGCGCCGGCACCATCGTGCAGCACCGCATCGTCGCCACGTCGCAGCACCCTCTCGTTGGGCAAGCGACTTGGGAATGCCCCAGGGGTGACCTTCACGCCACGTCACACCCCCTTCCCGTCACGTTGGGCCCATTTTCATCTCGTCGCACCCACGCGGATTCATCACACGCATCACGCCGTGCCGGAACGCGACACGGCGCCTCATCGTAACGCACCAGCTTTTATTCACTCGCCACGCCTCATCACGGCGAGTGGCACGCCCCTCCCCCCCCACCCCCCCGAGGACTCGAGGTTCAATGACACGTCACAACCATTGGAGACGACCACTCAGACTCACCTCGTCACCCCATCACCTTGCTCGATCGCACATCATACCACGCAGCCTCGCCGCACCTCGTCGCTCCACATCACCACCCCGACTGTCTCTCCATCCGTGTGTCTGTCCAAATTAGTGTTATCGTCTGTCTGCATGTTTATTGGCAACTACGTCTATCTGTGTGTCCATCTGTCTGTGTGCCTATCTGTCTGTACTTATGGCTGTCTCTCCATGCATCCATCCGTCCGCATGTTTTATGTCCATCTGTGTGTGTCCGTCCGTCCGTCTGATTGTCCACCTATTTGTCTAAACATCCATTCCTCCATCCGTCTGGCTGATTGTTTACCTATTTGTCTAAACATCCATTCCTGCGTCCGTCTGATTGTCCACCTATTTGTCTAAACATCCATTCCTGCGTCCGTCTGATTGTCCACCTATTTGTCTAAACATCCATTCCTACGTCCGTCTGTCTGATTGTTCACCTATTTGTCTAAACATCCATTCCTCCGTCCGTCCACCTCTCAACATAACCCAACCAATAATAGTTACTTGCATATTCTCAGATGAACATGGTCCATTGTAATTTGTACGACTAATTCAACCCCCCCCCGTCTTCGCACCTGATAGGATCACAGTGATCGCATCACCTTTACTCCTCGGTTTAAGACTGAAGCTGGCGAATCGCTTGATGAAGCTGGTTGTAATCACCAGCGAAGCATCATACTCGAATTGTAATTGCTGTGGGTTTTACTCTCCAACACACCGGTGTGCTGAAGTAGTAACGAATTGGCACGTTTTGTTTACGTGACAAACCTTACAAATTGGCTGTGTCGGACGGTCACAGGTTCAACGACGCATTTTATATTTACACGATTTAACCCCCCCCCCCCCAAAAAAAAAGTACATATGCCTGTTTCTCTCTCCATCCATCCATCCGTCCGCATGTTTTATGTACATCTGTGTGTGTGCCCTTCCATACGTCCGTCTGTGTATATATCCATTCCTGTATATAGACATTCCTGTATATATATATAGACATCCCTGTATATATAGACATTCCTGTATATAGACATTCCTGTATATAAACATTCCTGGATATAGATATTCCTGTATATATGTAGACATTCCTGTATCTATATAGACATTCCTGTATATATATAGACATCTCTGTATATATAGACATTCCTGTATATAGACATTCCTGTATATATAGACATCCCTGTATATATATAGAGATTCCTGTATATATATAGACATTCCTGTATATATAGACATCCCTGTATATATAGACATCCCTGTATATATAGACATCCCTGTATATATATAGAGATTCCTGTATATAGACATTCCTGTATATATTTATACATTCCTGTATATATATATAGACATTCCTGTATATATAGACATCCCTGTATATATAGACATCCCTGTATATATATAGAGATTCCTGTATATAGACATTCCTGTATATATTTATACATTCCTGTGTATATAGACATTCCTGTGTGTATAGACATTCCTGTGTATATAGACATTCCTGTGTATAGACATTCCTGTGTATAGACATTCCTGTATATAGACACTCCTGTATATATATACATTCCTGTATATATAGACATTCCTGTGTATATAGACATTCCTGTATATATATACATTCCTGTATATATGCATTCCTGTATATAGACATTCCTGTATATATATAGACATTCCTGTATATGTATACATTCCTGTATATAGACGTTACTGTGTATATAGACGTTCCTGTGTATATAGACATTCCTGTATATAGACATTCCTGTATATATAGACATTCCTGTATATGTAGACATTCCTGTATATAGACGTTACTGTGTATATAGACATTCCTGTGTATATAGACATTCCTGTATATAGACATTCCTGTGTATAGACATTCCTGCATATAGACATTCCTGTATATATACATTCCTGTATATAGACATTCCTGTATATATAGACATTCCTGTATATATAGACATTCCTGTATATGTAGACATTCCTGTATATAGATGTTACTGTGTATATAGACATTCCTGTGTATATAGACATTCCTGTATATAGACATTCCTGTATATATAGACATTCCTGTATATGTAGACATTCCTGTATATAGACGTTACTGTGTATATAGACATTCCTGTGTATATAGACATTCCTGTATATAGACGTTACTGTGTATATAGACATTCCTGTGTATATAGACATTCCTGTGTATATAGACATTCCTGTGTATATAGACATTCTTGTGTATATAGACATTCCTGTATATAGACATTCCTGTGTATGTAGACATTCCTGTGTATATAGACATTCCTGTATATAGACATTCCTGTGTATAGACATTCCTCCGTCAGTTTGTCGTCCGTCCGTCCACCTCCCCGTCTGTCTGTCCGTCGTCTCTCGGCCCGTGCGTCCGTCTCTCCGGTGATCTGTCGACCCGACTCTCCGCGTGTCCGTCCGTCCGTCGGTCCATCCGTCCGTGGACGCAGGAACATGCCCACCCTGGTGGCGTGGCTCAAGTCGCAGCGCGCGGGCCCCCAGGGCGTGAACATCGTCATCGCCGACTTCGTCGAGCTCAGCGATTTCATCCCCAGCGTCATTGCGCTCAACGACGCCCTCTGAACCCCCCACCCCCACATCGACCCACCACCAACCCTGAACGCCGCGACCGCCGCCAGTCATCGCCGTGCCACTGATCGACGTCCACCCTCAACCGCATCCGCTGCACAAACCGTGGCAGCGGATGTGGATGATACCCGATGCACGAATGGAAAACGTAAAACTCTCCAGCCGGTGTGCGACTGCGGTCGGCCAGAACGCGATGGCCCGATCCGCAAATCCGGAGTAGGAGACATCGTCGCGCCGATGAAACGCTCCGCTGTGAACTTGTAGTTGTTGCTCTGCATCTACATCAGCAGCAGTACGAAAGAAGAAGAACGTTTATCGATGCGTCCAGTTTGCTGGCTGGCTTCTGGCTGGCTTCCTGTACACCACCACCACCAACGAAGCGAGTTGGGTAAATGGCTACACGGGGCTTTGCTGTGCAACAAATAAGCATTGAATTGGAACGGCGGAAGAATGGTGGCGGATTTAACGACGTATATTTACGCTATCTAACCCAACAAAAAAAATAAACCTGTAGTGTGGGTGATATTGGTCGCGAAAGCCTACGTGTTAAATGGTGGAAGAAGTTTTGAAGATGTATAATAAGTCACACAATAGGTTACAGTATTGACACGAGAAGACTGTCACGGTTCAGTTAACATTGCGCGAACTTTTCAATTTGTCTATTCATGTAATTCTTTAACCAGAATATTCTTTACATTTTTGGCAATATATCGATACTTTAAAAACCTCGCAATGCATTATCTTGCCATTTTTCTGTATTATTACGTAAACCTGCAGATTACGTTTCGTATTATCGAGCACAGCAGGGGGTTTGTCAGAAGCGTTAGCAAGATAACAACCGCCACTCTCATGAACATACACGTGGTATCATCCCCCACAAATAAAGATACCCCCTTGAACCTCAACAGACTTGGGGCGAGTGCTGTTTGCGAGCAGTACCTATGAAGGCCGGCACGGTGCTCCATGGGGTGGGGGGCTAGCACCACGCCCGGCCGTCTTTGTCTCCCCAGCGGCAATGTTTATACACACACCGCAACCAGGCACTCATTTGAGGCTGAGTCGACCTGGGGGAGGTCCAGGACCGGTTTAGATAATTGTCACTGGCATTGGCCGTGCGCGGGAGTCGAACTCGGGGTCGCCGGGGTTCACAGCGCAGCTCGCTAACCACCCACGCCTCCCCCCAACTCTCAACCTCCACCTCCCTCTCCTCCTCCTCCACCTCCCTCTCCTCCTCCACCTCACTCTCCTCCTCCATCTCCCTCTCCTCCCTCTCCTCCTCCATCTCCCTCTCCTCCCTCTCCTCCTCCAACTCTCTCTCCTCCCTCTCCTCCTCCACCTCCCTCTCCTCCCTCTCCTCCTCCACCTCCCTCTCCTCCTCCAACTCCCTCTCCTCCCTCTCCTCCTCCAACTCCCTCTCCTACCTCTCCTCCCTCTCCTCCAACTCTCTCTCCTCCCTCTCCTCCTCCACCTCCCTCTCCTCCCTCTCCTCCTCCACCTCCCTCTCCTCCTCCACCTCCCTCTCCTCCCTGCAGTCGATTCACGCGGACATCCGAGTCCCTGGAAAGGCGGCCACTACTGGGGATAACAGCTGTAGCCCCCCCCCCCCTGCTACCCAGAGCCCCCTGTAGCCCCCCCCCACCTTCAACCCCCCCACCCCCACCCCATGTGCTGGCCATTACCGGGGGGTTGGGGCCGGGGGGGGTCTGTAACCTTACGGCTTCAGAGCCGTGACGTTATATTTATTTATGTAAGGGGCCGTCCATAAATGACGTCACGCGATTTTGGACGATTTTTGACCCCCCCCTCGTCACACGGCGTCACAAAAAGTCACACCCCTCAAATATGACGTCACAAAGCTCTGCCCCCCCCCCCCCCAAAAAATAAACATGCTTCAAATGGCTTTAAACTATTGCCATTGTAGTGCGTATTTAATGTGGCGCTGCACTCTGATGTTGTAGGAGAAGACATTTGTTAACATCTTCTTTGGTTCTTTCGGTAAAGTCACGTAGAATGAGAATAAAAAAATAAATTGTCCTACCAGACAGTCTCGTCCCTTCACCTGATGAAGGCCGCTTGTGTTGTGACCGAAACGTCGTGAGAATATTATTGTGTTATTTTATTTTATCAATTTATTATTTTATTCTCATTCTACGTGGTGACTTTACCGAAAGAACCAAAGAAGATGAATCCTTGCAGTCACGAAAGCTTTAAATCGAAATTTATTAACATGTCCATTTAATTAAGTAGAACGTGTTGTTTATATTTATTTAAAGTTGCGAATTTTGATGTGACGTCACATTTCTCAACCTCCCCCCTCTCCTCGTCACACATCGTCACAAATGTCTGAACCCCCCCCCCCCCACTTTAGGTGCGTGACGTCATTCATGGACGGTCCTTAAGGACTACCACCACACCGCAATTGCTGCGGCTCTTGAAATATTGAGTTGGTTGCTTCTATATTTCGGCGCGTTTCACCATTCACGCGCCCAGCGCTGGCCGTCTGGCTGCGAGCAGGACGCCGCGTGTAATTTGAGGCTACAACTGAGGCGTCATTGACCCTCCGCTCTCAAAGCAACACGTTCCGGGCAAGGAGGTGGTGACAGCAGCGTCTCGAGAGAGAATCGCCACCCACTACGACGGCTGCCCGTGTCTAACATCTCGTTAGGCAGGGTCCCCGACCCCGTCGCTTGGTACGTTGCTAGTTTGGGTAGTAGATGCGTTCTCAAAATAAGTCAATGAAAGCACGAAGCTCAACTGCCGCGAGGAGACCAACAGTCTGCCGAGTAGCGCGGTACACGCACAGCGCGGTACACGCACAGCGCGGTACACGCACAGCGCGGTACACGCACAGCGCGGTACACGCACAGCGCGGTACACGCACAGCGCTTGTTGTACACCGCGTCCGATCGCATAGCCCGGGCAGAGGTCGGCAAGCGACACGTGACAAGATGGCAATTCATTTAGAATTTGGTACAAAAAAAAAAATCTGAATGTGTCAAGAGCCACAACAACGAATGAGTGGATGAACGGGCTAAATACGCGTGGTGACCGTGGCAGGTGAGTGAACGATTGAGTGCGCCTGGGTCGTTGCTTTTAACGATATCACTCAAGTAGCTCTCCCACTTCAGAAGCGACCTGGCGGCCTTTTAATAAATAAAGTCACGAAGCAGCCGCCCGTTTAAAGAGCCCGCCGTGTGGCTCCGGGGCTAGCCGCAGGGTCGACGACGACCCCCTGGCATATCAATGAAGAATTAAAGCTTTGGTGACTGCATAAATTACTCATTGTTTTTTTTCGGTAAAGTCACGTATGTAGAAATACCATGAAATTATATTAAAATAAATCAATCACGACGTTTCGACCGCAACACAAGCGATCTTTATCAGGTGTAAAAAAATACAAATAGCGAGGGATATCCGCACATGAGTGAGTTCAAGCCGCACATAGCGAATTTTGGGTGGGCAGACGGAGGTTAGGTCCATGAAGAATCGCCCTGGCCACAAATGATCGCTCAACGAAGTGGCTTATCGCGTTTAGATGTTACAGTCGCCAAATACTCTAAACGCGTGCTTAGAAATGTGGAGGGAAAGTCCAGAGGACCCGGATAAAAATCCACCCGACTCGGGGGCCGTCCATAAATGACGTCACGCACCTGGGGGGGGGGGGGGGGAGAGTCAGACATTTGTGACGATGCGTGACGAGGGGGGGGGGGGGTTTGAGAAATGTGACGTCACATCAAAATGCGCAACTTTAAATAAATATAAACACGTTCTACTTAAAGACTTTTTAATGTTTTCTCCTACAACATCAGAGTGTAACGAAGGGGGGGTCCAAAATCGTCCAAAATCGCGTGACGTCATTTATGGACGGCCCCATACACGCAAACTCCAAATATACAGCAGCAGCAGGCATCGTTAAGGTCGGGATCGAACCCACGACCTCCTGCATACCGGGCGAAGTAGTTAACATCTCATAGCCACCGTGGCGGACGGTGGACGATGGTCGAGACGAATCGCGGAGCAGCGGAACGGGAACGGATTCGCGTAGTCCGAGAGCACCGAGGGAGACGGAGCGAGCGGACGGGGTGCGCATGTTGCCGGGGTGGATCGCAGCGCACTGCGGGGATCGTGAGTTGCGACGGATCGAGAGAGGCCCTCATCCAGCAGCGGATGATGCATGACTGATGTAAGAAGCGCATGCCCCGCAACGGCTCGCTCGCGCCACTGCACGTCGGGAGAGGCCTCTCCAGCTACTGCGAGTTGCCCGCCCCTCTCGAAGTGAACTCCGGCGGCGGTCGACTCTGCCACGGCGGCCAGACGTCTTTGAAGTGGCGTGCGTGCCCACGCTTTCAACCCTCCCCCTCCCCCCCCACGTCAAACCTCCAACACCAACCGGCACGACGTGGGGAAAATGTTGTCCAGACTTTGATTGGCAAAAGGGTTGGCGATTATTGTTGTTATTGTTGTTAATGTTGATTCATTGTAATCAAATTTCGATTTAAAGCTTTCGTGACTGCAGGGATTCATCTTTCTGGTTCTTTCGGTAAAGTCACCGCCACGTAGAATGGTAAGGAAGTGATATTTATTTATTTACATTTTTACTTGAATTTTTGTTTTATTTTTATTATTTTATTTCCATTCTACGTGACTTTACCGAAAGAGCCAAGAAGATCATTGTAATCAATTCATTATCCGTGTCATACGACGAGCCTGATGATGGAGTGGAAGCCGAGGGACGGAACGCGTACAAACAAACAGCAGCTCGTGCGTGTGCGTCAATACAACTATCGTTCTTATTCACAATTATAATTTTGTAGATTGTTAAGAGATCATGTGACGGCCTGTGGAAACCTTCATCCAGGAGTGGATTGACTACGGCGGATAATAAAAATGATAATAATGAACACAAGTAGCAAACACCCACCCCCCCACACACACACAATTGCTCGCGATGGTTTCTTCTATCTCTTATCTCGCATTGCTTGCTCTACTTGGGGGGGGGGGGGTTTCTTGTTGGTTTGTCCCTTGAAATGCACCTCCCCCGACGACCCCCAAACTCCTCCCATCAATATAATTTTAACCAATCACAGTTGGATTGAGCCAGGTAAAAGGTGATGGAGCGAGCCAATCGGAGAGCTGGATTTCTGCACACGCTCGCAAAGGGCGCGGTGGTGCCTCTGCGCTTTGTCTGTTTGGGGATTTTCTTTCCTCTCTCCTTCTGATCTCTGTGCTTTTGTCGTTGAGAACGAGTGGAGTTAAACGAGAGCCGCCTACGTTATCATCATCTTCAGCGGAATCATCATCAGTAGTAGTATCAACATCAGCAAGATCATCATCAGCTGAATAATCATCATCAGTAGCAGCAACGGCAATAATAATTTCGGCAGTGGCGACAATTATAATAAGCGCGTTAAATATAATCGTCAGCGTCATACTAATGAATATCATCAGCTGTCGCTTCATTATACATCATCATCAGCAACAGCAGCAGCAAACAATCGCAGATACCATCATCATAACATCACCATCATCATCATCCGCAGCAGCATTACCATCATTATAAAACATCATCAGCAGCAGCAAACATAACATCATCACCGCCATCATGGGCGTGGTGCTTCTCGAACCACGAACCCCGGATAGAGCTCGCGAATAGCACTGGCCCCAGCAACAATCTCACAATCATCATCATCATCATAGTTAACAATCATGATCATCATCATCACGAAGAATCCACGACTACACTTGCCCCGCCATTGTTTCTTGCATCATTGTACGCAAGGTGATGCTGCTTCTGCTGGTGATGATGATGATGATGCTTTTATGATGATTCCTATTGACTGAGTATATGTTTACTATTGTATCTTGACGGTTCTGCTGCCGATGATTGTGATGATGTTGTTTGTGA